ATGATAGATAGATAGATAGATAGATAGATAGATAGATAGATAGATAGATAGATAGATAGATAGATAGATAGATAGATATCTCCCTATAGATATAGATAGATAGAGAGAGAGAAGAGAGTTTGGGGAGGGGGGTTGCAGACAGTGTACACAGAAAGGCGGACTGAGAGTCTGACACAGAGAAAGGTTGTCTTTATAATATCAACGTGTCTTTTTAAAAATTTATTTTCTTCAACGATTATTTCGCTGTTCAAATTACAGTGAATAATGGTATAATAACTCACTGAATCTTGTTTTTTTCTTCTCAAAATATCTATTGTTGCCCTAAATGCTGTCCTTGGTTGCAGGATGTGTTAGATATGAAGTATTATAATATCCTTAGAGGGGAGAAGGCAAAAATTAGCAATGTTGTGCAACTAAAAGCTCTGCGGGACGGCTGGTTTTCATTCCCATACTTAGTATAAGAAAATTTGCTAAGCCACATAAGTTATTTTAGTATGTGAAAACTCGTTTTTGAAAAACTAACAAACCCTGTGGGATAGCAGATTTTCACACCTAGTCCCTATATTTCCAATGTGAAAAATTGCTAATAAACATAGTCCATAAGGAAAAGTGTTCCTGAAATACTTAAACTTATATTATGTTTTAAAGTAAGCGCTGGGTACAGTTGAGTTCTTTAAGTCTTATGTTGAATAATCAGTCTTTGTCTCTTCCGTAATATACCTGGTGGGCGTTAACAGGCCTTCTCCCTTGAGCTTCTGAGTAAAGAGAAGTACGTAAGCACAATACTGGTCAATTAGTGCTGGGACAAAGGAAACCAGACAGAAACAACAGAAGGAAAAACAGTGGCACCCTCCAACTACTCATAGACATGTGCACTTGTCCATTGAAATCTTTAACTTGGGTGTCCCTTATGAGAACCTCATATATGGAAATGAGCATTTCCAGCTTATTTGCCATTGCAGATTTCTATTCAGTCGGGCTTTTGGGGTTTTGATGTTTTTCACATATTCTAATTGTTTTTCCTGTATGTTAATAACTTTAAATCTCAAGCACCTTTGCGCATTATTAAATGTAGTGTTATATTGCACGTGCTGTTTCCAACAGAGGTGGTTTTAAGCTGACTGTGGTGGTGCGATATGCTCATAGACTTGTACTCTTTACCTACAAGGCTGTGTAAAAAGTTGTTCCCTTATCCGAAGCGGACATTGGGGATTGTCTTGTAAGTGAGACAACTTCCTGGGCCTTCGGCATATTGTGGTAGGGTGGCCAGTTCCTTTCCACGCCGTCTTTACTTTCCCAACTCGAGGTCATGTACTCATTACTGCTGGGTGGGCAGGAGGGGGGGGAGGGGGCAAATAAAAATCCGTGTCCGAACCGAGGCTGGATCCCGGACTTTCCGCTTCGGAGACGACCGCATTAACCTCTCCTCCATCACACCCTCTGAGGCTGTGTGCTCTGTCGTAATTCTGGCTCACCACGGAGCGCACGATTTGATTCTATTTGGAACAAAATGAAGGGTTATACGGGATGCCCATTGTGGGATCGGGTCTGGTCAGGGCGGTTTGCTGGCCAGATTGAGGGCGTAAAGCGGCTTTCGTGTTTCAAGCCGATCGCGCCCGACTCGTCGCCTCAAAAACAAACGCGTTTGTTTTCAGGCAACGAGGCAGGCGATCGCCCCCGACCCGATCCCATCCGCAATGGGAACCCGATGTAATGAGGGACAATCGAAGTTTTTTTTCGAGAGCAAAGAGCAGCGGACATAACAGTGTCTGGTCTAAGATGTCATAATTCAGATAAATGATAAAACCTAAACGACTCGTCACAGCGATCAATGAACATTGCTAATTCAGTTATTCATCTCCTCATTTTTATCTAAAGTATGAGCTACATTTTTCTGTAGATTTTCTTTTAAGAAAGTGTGAGGTGAATCAATCGTAATGGTGGTTCCTCTTTGAAACGCATAATATAATTACAAGGACTATCTTCTCTTACTAAATAGATTTGAATAAATTGGAGATATTTGTTTAAAATTTGACACATGCAAATGATGTCACAATTTTGAGCACCTAGAGTGCGGTCAAAAATTGGTGTTGCAACTTATCCTCAAATATCTTTTTAACGGGTGAATCAATGTCATCCATACTTTGCACAGCAGTTTGTATCAATTTGTCTTAACTATATCATATTTTTGTGGAACAATTGGGGCTAGATTAAAGAAATTTTCTTCATAAGTTTATATAAAATACTTGAAATCTCTGTCCCAGGTAAAATGATATTGTTCACAGCACGTACAGCTTCTCACACACATTTTGATTACGCATACGGCCTATCAATGACAATTATTAGTTGCAAAACTTGTTACAAGAAATTATTGTTATAGTGAACACATTTTTGCACTAACGGCTCTCAAAACATGCGTTCAATAAGCATAACGTCCCGATTAGAAAAACGGGACGGTCTTGCTATTAAAAGCAAAATTGTCCCAGCTGTAAACATTTAA